TCATCTGCGCACATATCCGGTCTTTCACACATCCAAACTGTTCCCACACATCGATGATAAAACTTTTCCCTTCCGAGATCTTATGATACCTCGTCCTATCGACGACGGCCATGAGATAGACAGAATCGTTTCCCATGAAAGTAGAGGGACGAACAGACAGTATAAGGTTCACTTCCTCTATCACCCGTTGAACGAGTTTTTCAAAATCGACCGGAAAGAGCTGCTAAAAATGCTCCACGTGTTGTGAAGGGTTATGAACGACAAATCACTGACGGACAGACTGTTAAGTTTTCTGCAAGACTCACTCGTTACGGTATTACTAAGTCTCTCTTTTTAATCTACGCCTATGATGCTTTTTGTGCCGACTCTGAATGAGTTACTCGCTCGAAGGGACCTCGCTCTTGAGAGGGGGTAGTGTAATGACCCGCCAAAAACACAGACTGAGAACACTGCTGATTTCTGGGATTTGCCGTTGGAATGAATGCCTTGCTGAAATTCCCGCATTCTGCTGTGATTTCCATGTCTGTGTGTGTGCGTGCCTGCTGGTTTGCATACCTGTCCGACCTGTCCGAGTGCTTGTCGGTTGAGTGTGTGTGTGACCCGCAAGGGAGTTGTTGGTTGCAAGGCCCTGCTGGTACTTACCTGTGGCCGTGACTGTGAGGGTTGCCGCGGGGGAAAACGCTCGAGTAGGCGGGGTAGGCCCGCGACACTTAGAGCAGACTCTGAGGGGAAAAACACTCAAGTAGCAGGTAGGCCGGTACCACTGAAGTAGTGGTAGAAGTGTCGGGTACTGGAGGCCGAGCAGAAGAAGACAAAAAGTTGGCATTTTTAGAGGCCCCGTAGCGGTAGGCTAGAGGTAGGCCGGTACCAGTCGAAGTAGCCCGGGTCTAGGGTCTGTCCGGAGGTTAGCAGAGCCTGCAATGATGTTTCCCTCCGAAAGGGAGGAGGTACCGGTTTTTGGGAGGCCGCTCGGCCTAGGAAGTCACCGCCCAGGAGGCCAGTAGGCCGCTATATCTTTCGGAGGAGCAAGTAGCTCCTCCTCATTTGCGGTATGCAAGGATTGGTGACATGCTGCTGGAGCACAGCACTGGCTGATACAGCGCTGCTTGGAGGTGAAGGGCAGCTGGAGCTCAGCCTGGCTATGGCGAGCAGCCCAGCTTGAGGAGGAGGAAGAAGGGGGCT